GGGACCGGGGCCAAGGGGGGGGGGGGGGGGGGGGGGGCACCGAACTCCGAGGGCGATCTACGGCAGACATATGCCCAGCCAAAGCATGCAACCTGCCCCATGCACAGGGTGAGGCATGTCAGTGATGGACGTTCAGAGCAGTGGGAACAGTGGACCGGTTTCCTGTGCCTGTGTCCGGAGGCATGGTCGATCATCGGGGTCAGGTAACTGGTCTCCCAGCAATCGGGGACGATCCCCGGGGCTTTCTCTGCCTCGAGCCCCTCCCCTCCCCCCACCCCCGCTGACCCGGGAGGTTGTGCCCCCTCCCCCGCATGCCCCCCCCCCCCGCCCCCGCACCCCACTTGTGGTAGGAGGGGCCCCCTGCTCCTGGTGGACACCGCACATATGAGGGCCGCCACCAAGGTGCTCGCCGCCCAGCCGCTTCCCCCCTCCCGCTCACGCGCGTCCATCTCCCTCCCTGCTCTCTGCACTGTCCCACCCTCCTGTCCATCCTCCCCCCCTCCCACGCACGCACTCCCGGGTGTCGGACCACCGCCTCCGCCCCGCTCCTTCTCGCCGCCCCGCGGCATCCCTCCACCTCCTCCTGCTTCCCCCTCCTCCTGCTCCTCCGCCCCCCCCCCCCTTCCTCCTTCCTCCTCCCCCCCTTTGCCCTTCGCTCCCATACGACACCCAAGCTTCCACCGATCATGCCTGTCCGCTCGGCCCCCAGCCTCGTCCGCGCGATGGCCCTCCCCCAGGTGACCCTGGAGGACATGAGCCTCGTCGCCGATGGGTCTGCCTTGTCGGAGATGATCTACTCGCTCGACTACCCTGCTGCCACCCCCTCGCCGCGCCCGTCCGCCGTGAACTCGCGCAAGTTCTGCGGCTACGAGGGCGAGCGCACCCTCGACAAAATTGTCTGGTTTTTGGACATCCTGGACAGCTCCTCGGTATGTCTTCAATGTGCCTCTCCCCTGCCCCCCTCCCCCTCCGCTGGCATACTGTTTGCTTGATGCCCTCGCCGCTGCTCGCTCAAAGGCCCCCCCCCCCTTGTTGACCCCCCTCTTTCGCTGCCTCCGTCGCCCGGTCGCCGTCGACGCGCGCATGCGATCGCGCATCCGCACAGATCAAGCTCACCCTGGTGTTTGATGGCCCGAAGACCTCCTTCTTCACGCAGAACTCCGGCCCCTCGCAGACCAGCCGCCGGGTGCAGCGCATCTCCGACGGCATCGAGTACCTGGCCTCCCGGCGCTCGGTCTACCTGAAGCAGTTCAAGTCCGGCCGGCGCTTCAGCGCGTCGGTCCTTTCTCGTGATGCCCTTGGCGATCTCATCTCCGCCGAGGACTCCAATGATGTCATCATCTCCGATGAGAGTTTCTACGAGCAATGGTCCGTCCCCCCCCCCCCTGACCCTCGTCGGCACCCGTGCCTCGCCTCCTCCCCGCTCGTGCCCCTTCCCATTGATGGCTCACATGGTCCCTCCCCCCCCCCTCCCCCCGGCCCATAGCTCTCGCACCCCCTTCCTCTTCACCACGGAAATGCTTCGCAATGAGGCCGGCTCGCGTGGCCACCGAATCATCACCTGCCCCACCGGCCGGACTGCCTCCTACTCCATTGGCATCGCCACAAAGGCCGGCGTGCCGCTGCTCGGGTTCGCGCCACCCACCCACCTTGCTTCCCCGCCCCCGCCCCCCGCCCTCGCCCCCCTCTTGCTGACGCTGCCCCCTCTGCCCATCCCAGCCTCTCCAGCGACTTTTTCTTCAGCCAATATGGTTGCTTCACCGACGTCACGGTGACCACATCTCCCACGGATGGCACGCATTCCCTGGCCGGAGCCTTCGTGTCACGGTCCATCGTGGCCGACTTCCTGAAGCTCCCTTGCGAGTCGCTGACGCTCCTGCTCTTTGGCCTGCTCGGCACCGGGAACATGACGCGCAGCCAGGTGGCCGACATCCGCCGGCTGACCGGCCTGGTGGACTTCATGCCCGTCGTCGAGACAACCAACAATGAGGAAGTTTCCCAGCCCCTGGCTCCTTCCACCCTGCGAGCCTTCCTCGGCCGCCTGCCCGGGGCCGGGATCACCACCTTCGAGTTGGCCCTGCTGCGTCTGGCCACCGGCCGTCCGCTGGCCCTGCCCCATGGCGCCGACACCGAGGCCCACTTTGCCGGGAACTATGCCCTGCACTTTGGCACGGCCAACCCCGACACCGCGCGCATCGTGGCCCGGTCCCTCTTCAAGCTGGCGGCCTCCTTCTGCCCGGGGCTGGCCCCGTCGCCGGAGCTGGCCGGCGCTTTGCACCTGGATGCCGGGCAATTCCCCATCACCGTGGTCGGCGGGCATTGCTACCATGCCGGCCTGCCGGACCTGGTGGCTCGGTACCTGTGGATTCACCCCATTTTCCAGTCCCTCAGCCAGGCGGAGCGCGATGAGCTGATCGTGGCCCAGCCCTCGGGGCCGGACTCCGGCTCGGGGGCCCCCAGCGCCGCCGGTCCCCCGGCCGCCATGACGGCCTCCAGCAAGCTGGTCACCATCATCGAGTCGCTCCTGAGCCCGCAGGCCGTGGCCCTCGAGGCCGCCGACGATGGGCCCTCCTCCGCCGGGGGCGGCATGGCCCATATCACCATGGCCGGGGCTTCGCCGCACCTGGTGGCCACCATTTGCGAGATCCTCACCTGGTCTTTGCCGGTGAATGCCGACGGCGAGGTTGTCCTGCCGGCCTTGTTCGAAACCTCCCTCGTTCCCTCCGGCTGGAAGATGACCCAGCTCACCCGGTCCATTGCGTATGATACGCTGAATGGCCCGGCCTCCGCCCCGCCGGCCGGCGCCACCGGGCCGGTCAGTGCGGCCGATGCCGCCGCCCTGGCAGCGGTCCCTCCCTCGTCCGAGACCTCCCCCCGGATGCTGGTGGAGCTGATCCGCGTGGACGCCAGTGCCCGGCCGGGGGAGTTGGTCCTGCCACATCCGGTCCCCCCCTCGCCGGTGGCCACCGCGGTCAGCACCCCCTCCGGCTCGCCGTCGCCCTTCCTCTCGCACCAACAGCATTCCGCCTGGGCCGGCAGCGGTGCCAACATGGCCGGGGCTTTTGCTGCCCACCTGCAGCAGCGTGACGCCCGGCCGGTGGACCGGTTCTGGGCGGCCCTTTCCGAGCTCGGGGTCCTGGCCGATGGGTGCACTGAGTCGTTGGCTGCCCTGCGCTTCTTCCGCCCGGATGGCGGGGACTTCCGCTTCTTCGCCGACGAGGCCGAGTCCTCGCCCTCCTGCGTGGCCTACTCTTCGACTCAGATTTCCGCGGCCCCCGCCTCGTGTGGCAGCGTCGTCATGATGTCGCACCAGCGCCAGCAGCAGCAGCAGCAGCAGCAGCAGCAGTCCTCCTCGGCGCCGCGCTCCTCTTCGATGGCGGCGGCGGCGGCGGCGGCCACGGCCCCCCTGGCTTCGGGCCTTCCGGCGGCGGCCCACCTGATGACCATGGCCCCGGAGGCCCTTCCCCGGACCCTGTACGCGGTGCAGTCGGGCCTGGTGCCGGACACGGCGCCGGGCTTTGCCTCGCCGGCCGAGCAGGCCTCCGACGCCCTTGGCGCCGGGATTTCCGAGCCGGCGGCCCCTCGCCTTGCCACCTCGCTCGGCATCACCACCGGCACCCCGAGCGCCGGGGTCGAGGCTGTCCTGAGTGATGATGACTTTGACACCGGCAGTGCCGGGGCCAGTGTCGACTCGCTGGTGGCGGCTTTCGGCGGCGGTGGGCCGCTGGTCCGGTCGCCTTCCAGCTCCTCGTCCGACTCGATCGAGCCCATGGACTCTCCTTTGGCCGTTCTCCGGTCGCTGTCCCTCTCCATGAGTGACCTTTGCCCGGATGCCGAGGGGAACATGACCGCCGCTTCGGCCGCCCTGCTGGCCGCCGGCAGTGCCTTTGCCTTTTCGCCGGCCGAGACCATCCTCGATGGCATGCCCGGTGTCACCACCATCGATGGGGCCTCCTCTTCGGCCCCGGCCACGGCCCCGAGTGTGGCCGTCACTCCGACCGTGGACATTGTGGTGGCCGTCGACTCGGCGGATGACGGCCCGGCCCCGGCTCCGGCCCCGGCCCCGGCTCCGGCCCCGGAGCAGCGGCGCCTCTCGCGCCTGGACTCGGCCCAGCAGGCCGGCTTTGCCACCTTCCTCCTGTCGCCGCAGATGCTGTCCTCGCGTGGGCGCTCGCGCTCGCGCAGCCCCTCGCGCGATCGGGCCGGCAACCTCGCCGATGGCCACCTCATCCTGGCCAGCCCGCGCCTTGGGGCCTGTGACTTCCTCCAAGATCCGGTCACCTTGCGGCTGATGGTCGGTCTCATCCGCAGCACGCTGACCTCCTTCCGGGACAACCAGGCCCTCTACGACCAGGTGACTCCGCACGACTACCGCACCGGGTCGAAGCTGTCCCTCTCGGGCCCGGCGAATTTCTCGCGCGGCGCCTCGACCGTGTCGCTGACCGCCACGCCGGCCGGCGGCCATGCCATCGGGTCTGCCCTGCTGCAGCAGCCGCCCGCGCATCACCAGCATTCGGCTGATGGGGGGTTCGCGTCGAACTTCTCCTCGCCGGGGCTCGTGACCGCTCCCTGCTCGGGGCCCGGGTCGGCGGCGGCCTCTCCGTCGGCCGGGCTTGCTGGCGGGGACCTGGCAGCCGGCACTACCGGCGCCGGGGGTGCTGCCATGGCTTCTCCCCGGACCGCCGGCGCCGGCGCCGCCGGGGGCCCGAACTTCGGTACCTCCTCCTGGGTGGCCCAGATCCTGCTCCTGGTGGCGGCTCTCTGCCCGCTGGATGACTCGTCGGAGGATTTCGGTACGTCTCTTGCCAGGCATGCGCGTGTGCGCCCCCCTCCTCCCGAAGGGGGGGGGGGGGAGGGCCCTTTCCCCGCCTTCTCTCCTTTGTTTGTCTTCTCACACGCGCATGTTCCCCCCTCCCCCTTCCCCGGGTCCCCCTTCCACCTGCCTGCTTCTTTTCGGGTCCCTCGGGTTTTCACAGAGACCGGTGTTCTCATGGTGGATGTGCGCGATACGCTGCTGTTTTCCCTGCTCCAGGCCCAGCTCTTCTCCATCCGCATGCTGGCCTCGTCGCTGTGTGTCCCGACCCCCGGGCGGTGGGTCAGCCTGGAGTCCGGCCGGCCGGTGCTCATGTCCAGCTCCGGCCAGCCGGCCTACGGGCCTGGCGACAGCCCGACCGATGCCGATCGCATCATGATGGCCTTCTCGTCGATCTACTCGTCGATCAGCTTCCGTCGCTTCTGCCGGGCCCGGATCCTGATTGAGCGCAATCAGGATGTCTTCCTCAAGAAGGCCGGCCAGATGCTGATGTCGGCCCTGATCGACTCGGTCCGCGAGACAGCCACCGCCACGTCCAGCGGCTGCGGCAGCAGCCTCAACTGCAGCCCCTTCATCTCCTCCTCGACGGGGGCCGCCAGCGGGCCGGCCGACTCGGCCCTGCCCCAGCAGCACCATGGGTCGGCCACCGCCGGGGCCACTGCATGCGCCTCCATGCGCCTGCCGCGTCCCCTGTCGGCCGTCGCCGAGTGCGATTGAAAGGTCCTCTCCGCCGTCGCCCGCGTCGCCACTGCCGGCCGCCCCCCCCCCCCCCCCCCGTCCCTCTCACTTGCTGTGCCAGGGAAGAGGGATGTGCTGCGAAAAGGGGGCAGACTCATGCCGGCGAGGGCGCGCGCGTGTGTCGCCTTCCCATGTGCAAGACAGCGCTGACCCAATCGGCTGTGCCACCCCCCCCCCCCCCCCCTATATCATATCCAGCACAGCACTCTTTCCTCCGCCTTTCCCTTGTCCTTGTTCCCCCCTCCCTCCCTCCCCCCGTCATTCCTCGTTTGTCTTCTCGCGTGCGCTCGGCCGGTCCGACACGGCGACGGCTGCGTGCGCACTTGCCCCTTCCCCCTCTTGTCCCACAGTCGCGTGTGAAGAAACCCCCCCCCCCCGCACACGTGTGCGTCCCTCAGATTGCGAATACATTTGGCATATCCACACACAGATCTTTCCCCGTGTCTCCCTCGCTTCTTTTCTCGCCCCGCCCCTGCCTCCCCTCCCGACGCGCCGGGCATGCGTCGGCTCAGGGGGGGCGGGGGAGAAGCGGGAACCCATCGTGGGGCGCAAGTGATACCCGAAAGTGGCGGCGCGCATGGCGCCCGGCTCCCCGGCCGGTGTGTTCTCTTGGCCCAATCCAACGGCCCGGGCAGAGGAGGGGGGCAAGGGGGAACACACACTCAGAAGGCGGGGAGGGGCGCCCGGGCGCGGCTCGACTCGCCAATCGCACACGTGAGTGGATCCCGTGGCGCGATCTAGTATGTCAGAATGCATGAACCACCTGCGCGGCTTTGAAAGGGGCAGGCTTCAGAGCACGGAAGGGGCAGTGCCGGGCGGGCCGAGGAAAGTCTGCCTGTGTGTGTGTGTGTGTGTGTGTGTGTGTGCACACACCCGACCCATGCCTCCGCGGCGGGCGCACCAAGAGGCGGTCCACTTGCCAGCCGGCTCATCCGGAGGAGGTAGCCAGAGTTACGCTGGGGCTTCGGCCGGCCTCCGCCCGCCCAGATTGTTATTGTTTCTCCCGCAAACGCGCGTCCGGTGGGTGTTCCCGCTTGGCCCCCCGCCCCCGCGGCGCAGGCAGGTGTCAACACCGACGACCGGCTGAGTGCCCTAGTGGGAGTCCTCAGAACCAGGTACGTGTTTGGAGACCGGGGGCAGGGACGAGGGGGGGGGGGGGGGGAGGGGCATAGCGAAAGGGGCCGAGATCGTGTACGTTGGGCGATCTCGATCCGCCCCGGGCGGCGTCCCCCTGCCACACCTCATCCCCCCAGGGAGGGGGGGGGGGCGGCGGCGTGCGCGCGTTGGCCTTGCCTTGGTCAAGGGCGGCGCCCGTCCCCGCGGCCCCCTCCATCCCCCTATCCGACTGCCTCTCGGCGTGTCCCCTCGGAGTGTGGTGCCCAGCTGGTAGGCGGCCCCTTGTCAGATCCGGACTGGAGGTGCACCTACGGCTGCCCCATCCCCTTGCGCGGCCCCTGTGC